ACTCGCCTTTTTCCTTAATCCTGGCATCATGTGGCCTATACGGGTGCAAACGGATTTCAGTTGTCAACCAGCGTCAGTGGGTACGAGGTGATTCGAGAGTTAAAGCCACCGTATGGGAGTATGAGAAAGTTATCTTCATGAATCAGGGACTACAATTTTCGTCCTTTTTGACTAATCTCACCATTGGTTGCTTGTGTTTCGCGGTAGTGTCTATGTATCCGCTGAACATGAACCTCATTTATTCTGTCAATTAGGCAACATGAGGATTCCAATTGAGTCTTCGACACAAATAAAGCTAAAGCCACGGAAAAAACGTCAGACTCCTAAAAAGCTGCCCACCGTTTCGTTTCAACGACCTAGAACAGCCTGATAAGAGACGGTTATTCCGTATTTCGATTGTCGTGTGTTTGTTGGGTTGCATGAGTATTAAGTTTTTTATATTTAAGTCATCTTTTGATGCATTAAAAAGCACAAAATAACTACCAAAAGTATTAATTTAGCATGCTCTGTTTTGTAGTTACACGTTGGTTGTGTTGTTGCTTCGTAACTTGATCTGTGATCCCAACCGCTGTAGGAAACCCCAACACATTTATATTATTTGTTGATAAGGTTTGGAAAACAACTTAGCAAATATAAAATAAGTTTAAAAGTTACAGATATGCAAAGGTTTTGTGAATTACTGTTAAACGAAAGAGTTAAAACGAAATGTCGTAGAAGAAATCACATGCTACAAAATAAGATGACAAGCTAGTAAATGAAGAGACATCCATGGACTACCGTTGACAGCGTTAGTTGCCACTGAATGTAAGTCAAACATTGAGCGAGTTGATAATTTTCCCTTGAGATGAGAAATAGAACTAAGGTGTTTTTGAAAGATAGGTTAATCGAACCGACGTTCCTACGGAAGTCGATTCTAGGGGGAAGCTAATGTAACAGCATAGGTTGGTTGGTTAAGAGTTGACCCCAAACAACCAAGCATATGTCAAAACAGTATTGTTCAAGTATTCATTCACTTCCTTATTTTGTATAAGCGTTATATTCCTTATTATCTTATATTGAATGTTGAAAGCTTTTGTTTGTCTGAACAGATAATCCCACGCTCCACTGTGACTGTGCTAAGATCGAAATAAAGACGTACTCACTACTCTGGTTTCTTCTATCAATAGTACGAGGGTTACCTATAGGCACGAAAAAGTCACCGGTAAGTCTTAAATATTTGTCGTACTTCTTTTAGTTTTTTTCCAAGGAATAACCATTTCTAATAATTAACGTGTGTTGTCTGTAGTGCTTCATGCTGAAGCGAAATTTCAGTCGACGTAAGGGAGGCGTTACAACGTATTATACTGAACAATTGATTCGGGAGCTGGATTTAATTTGATAGTGCGCTAAAGGAATTCCAGAAAGTGTGGAAGAATAATTCTATCCATTCTCAGATTACCCATACTCACTATATTCGCACAGAAAGTAAATTCTTGAGCGATATGAGATATAAATACTTGTTTGTGGTGTTTCATTGCACGTTTGGTCGTAAATATGAGTCAGCAGGTCTGACAGTGAATGAAAACCATGACAACTTCAACTTATATGTAACGTTTAAGGTCTAAGTCTCTTTACTGCTAGTCGAGGTCCCGCGTAATATTGGAAGCGGAAGGATATGTTATAAAATCATACAAGATACTGCACAATCATCCTTGTAGTAGTTCGTGGATGGTTTATGACCCATGGACCAGAAGATTGTCGTCCGAAAGAAAACAGAATTTGAAGCCGGTCATATTGCAGTTTCAATCATCAGACGAACTAATAGAAATTATCAAGGATAGGACTAATAAGCAGGTCATTGCTGACGATATGAAAACTGTGAAAGCTAAACTCTCCACACGTAAGTGTATACAAGTATATTTCAGATTCTATGACGCGAAAGCAAGTGGTGGATATGTTGCCACAAAATGGTGAAGTGAAGGAGCATTATGGAAACAGATATGTGAAAAGAATCTGCTTCAGTACTTATGAGCAAACACAGTTGCAAAATAAATTTCCCGAAGTTGTTTGCACAGATTCTACTTACAATACCATTAATAAAAAGTGATTATACTTTCTTTATTGCACTTTGTAGATATTCTTTATTCCTGTTTGTATTGACGGATAATTTTTGTCGGGGATGTCTTGTTATGTTTGTTTGGACGCAAAATTTCATGCGTGCAAACGTGTCAATATCCTTGTCGCCATATGCTACTAACTTATGTTAAATGATGAACTATTACGGGTAAGCCTAATCAAATACGAAATATAAACTGTATAGCCCATCAAATTCTTAGGCACTGCAGTAGATGGAAGTTAGATAATACGCAGAACTTACGAAACAACACAAAAAGTTCATTACGGAGACCGAGTGCTGAGTATATAAGGATACTACGACGGCAAAGACTTTACAGACAACGCAACTGATTAACGTTTCATGATGGAAGTTGAGAAGAACGTCAACAATTATTTTTTAGGAATTATCAATATTAATTTTTATTTCCCTCTTTTTCCTACTTTATTGGGGTGGTATACCAATAGTGTTAACGAGCAACTGTCTGTGAGAATCAGAAGCTTGTACTACTGCATCAGTCTCAAAGTTTCATTAAAACGTAGCGTTATGTCATTGTTAATTGTGACAAAACGTCGATTCACTTTACACAGTGAAGCGAATTCCACATAAAATCTTACAGATTAGCCAACCGCATGACATATTTACCGTTGTCAGATTAGGTCTAATATCAAATTAGTATTAGTATCGAACTAGACAATGATTTCGTGCAGTTTGTTCCCTGGTAAGATGGGTTAGGTAATAAGTGGAAGAAAATTATGTTATATTCCTCTCCCATTACCGAATTATTGGACCCCCTTTCAATCACTGTTTTGCTCACTTAATTCTCTTAAATTATGTAAACTCTTCAAATTCTATTCAATTACCTTATCAGTTTTTCATTCCATGAATCCTTCATTACATCTAAGATTATCACACAATTTATCTTATCTGTGTCTGAACTCCACTCGACTATTACACCACCCATCGTTAATTTCTCATTGATTCTAACACCAAATAACCTTTGACCTGTTCGTGCACAGATATATATATATATATATAGTTACTATTGATAACCTAGGTCATTCTAATTCTTTAATTTCTTTTATGTCAATTGTTTCATACTATTTCTTACCTCAATGTTAAATTCTAATACATGTTTGGTTGTATGCAGCTTACGAGAAATCACGAAATGTAATGCAGTCATATTATTCTACATCAGTATTTGTTCTGGCCTTATTTAGACCATAATTATGCATACTTACAGGATTTATAATGTAAAACACTGGGTATGGTATGACATTTGATATCAACAAAAAAATTGGTAAGCACTATTTAGATATAACTCGACAATATGCATCATAACTTTGTTCATAATTTGGTCAGTGATTGCGGATTCTGTTTACAGAAACTTATTCGTCAACCCTATAACAGACACATCATAAATCAGTATTAACTACGACATGGTTTTGTCATCATGCTCAAAAGAAACACACATCGTTTTACATATGAAGACTTTGTGACTACTTAATGTGGCACTTCCAGTGGTACACTGTTCCTGTATACATTCAGAAAGCGGATGAAAAAGACGATTTACGTTATTTGTTACTCACATAATTCTTCTCAAATACGTTACATAATATTATGTCACTTCAGTACAAAACGATGATACTTATAATGGATATAGCTATTTATGGCTAAATATTAGCAAGTTATATAATATTCATAAATAGATTAACCCTTAATTGCTTCTACCTACATTTTATAAACAACTACCAACATCCATGTTCATCATCACCACAATCAAGGTGAACCAGACGTTAAAGGTTTTAAAGCTTATTTTCCGGAAAACTCAATTTGTAATCTATTTTTTTACTTGAAAAACGGTGAGTTTTACATTCTTGAGTTGGTACTGTTACAAATAACCACATTAGGCTGACCAAACATTCACTCAGGTTGTGAGCAATAAATACGTCAAACTATGTACCAAGCACAAACATTACGAAAATTGACGTAAAACGGGAAAAAGGCTGTTAATAGTTGATAAGTAACGACACAAAAAATCAGCGTCAATATGCGCGCGAAAACACCTGGCTTATCGGATTCTTCGTCCCGAAGCCAAAAGATCACCAATCAGTATCATACGTGGTCTTAAAGCTTGGACGTAATATGCTGAGATATCATGATATTGCTCGGGTACAACCAGGAGTGAAGTAGACTTTCAATTAATACGATGAGAAATCTCATAGAGCACATTTAAAGCCACGAGAATTACGGTTAAAAAGAAACCCATTCGGTGAGGACAGGTAGTCTAGTACATAGTGTTCGAAGTTCCATGAAGAAATCATGTTTTCAAAAGAATCTTCTTATGAAATGAGAGAAATCAGAGACGACCCACGGTAACTTCATTTTAAGATCAAGAAACCGGCGTGTTACTAAACGACATTTGATTTGCTAGAATTTACACTGTGGTTTTTTTCCAGATAAATGAACTGCATTTGTATTCTGTTGAAATTTATTCAGGATCTTAAGGCTCGTAAACAAAGTAGCTTGCAAAGATGCTTTGGATATTTGGGCTTTTTTATGACGCCTTTATTTGTAACACGTTTAAAATCGCAGGATACCAACCCACCGAACCATAAATCAGGGAGGACTGAGTTCAAAAATGCATGCGGAAGTTTGATGACATGCTGAGAAGTGTCTTACATAAGCTGACTAGTAGTCCCAATGATTAAGTAACATAGCGTAAAAAGTGGTCATCAGGTCTGAACACTTGACCGAGTGTTTTCACCCAGGGTGTGTTCAATAAAAATACTGAGACGAGCCATTATGCTGAAGACTCACTGAAATATTTATTTTTGGGGTTCATTTACCGTTATGCACCGTAACACGCTCGCGCTACATATATTGGATATTGGATGTAGAGAGCGCTGTGTAATATATCGGCTACATCTCAAGGATGAACGCAAAACTGCCTTTAGATACTAACTATGATTTAGAACAACAGTTCATCCTTCGGATGACAGACACAGTTGCTGCTCAAAATCTGGCAGCTGATATCGATGCTGGCATACCTTTCAAGGTTTGTTGAAAAATTGCTTATCATTTTTAAAAATCTTATCCACAAACATTTGCAAATGTTTGTGGATGGTCATTTTGTCATTTTTTCTAGCCTTTATACTCCTTTTCATATCTTATTAGATACGAAATTCTGAACAATTCGTTTTATTGGTATATCTGTATGTTATGATGATATCGCCACTCATATATGTGAGTGGTTTACTGTGAATAACATTTGGAGTCGTTCTATCACATTCCTTGGGTTTCTTGTTTGTTTTTTATATATTTCATGCTTCCGTTTCGTATTAAGTTATTCGAAGGTTGTTGCCTACATTAATTTGTGTTTTCTCCAGACAAGTATTCATTATCCTCATATTTGACAAGAATATTTCTAAGGAAGTGATCATCGGGCGGTCCACTGTACAATCCGTTTATGGAACCAAACTCCAAAATTTTACCATCGACTCATCCAAAATGTTTGGTTACCACTTTGTCTGTATTTTCAATGAAAAAAATTTCTCGGCGAGACTATAATTTATGGACGAACCAATCAGATCTAAGATAAAGAATCTTGAGTTTTGGCGCAAAATTCACTCATCCATTTGGTTAAATAGAGTTTTGGCATGAAAGCTGATGTCAGTTGGTGATGGAAAATCTATATCTGATTCCTAACCCTAACCATTAATTGTAAATATTAATCCTAAATCCTCAAGCTGGTTTATAATCCTCATATCAGTCAGTCAGTAACAACGTGGAACTTCATACGTACGTACATCAGTTCTAGTTGCCATACCACATTATCACAGAGATGCAGTTGTCCATTCAAATCTCGTAGTGGTAGAACTAGTAAGATCATAAGCATTAATTGGAAATATTAGGGTTGGTAGATGTTATTCAGGGAGTATAATCTAGTGAAATAAACTTGGAAAGAAATTAAAGGACATGAAGAATTCAATAGATTAGAATTTGGGAGAACAAAAAGTGTGGATGCACCTGCACCATTGTAAACGATTTTGAGCCATACCATTTAAGGTCTCTCACCATCGGTTGCTATCGTCTCGTGGGTCCCAACCAGGTAGTCTACACCTACGAACATGGCTCAGTGCACTTGTCAATGACTTCATGGATTTGTGTCATGTTTTGGTCTAGTCGCCCCTATCTTTCTTCCAACCTACTCCCATGCCACTGAGTATAGCACGTCGAGGCAGTCGGCGGTCGGGCATACGTAACATGTATCCCAGCTATCTCAACTAATGAAGTTTCACTACTTCATCAATCGATTTTCCATTTCTACCTAGTACCCGTATCCTAACAACTACATTACTTACTCGGTTGTCCCAGGATAAACGAGCAATGTTTCGAAGACACCTATGATCAAATACTAGTAACCTACGAATATCTTCTATTCTTACCGACCATGTTTCACTGCCATAAAGTAGGACGGAACGAACTGCTGCGCAGTAAACACGTCCATTGGTTGATAGACGGATATCTCGCCTACGCCATAAATTACGCAAGTTGGCAAAAGCTAGTCGAGCCTTCTGTATCCGTGCTGAGATTTCGTCACACACCAAACCACAAGGGCTGATGAGACTTCCAAGATAAGTGAAGCGGTCGACACACCCAACTACTTCACTCCCTATCATTAGTTCGGGTTTCGATGCAACTCAATCCCGAAGCAACATTTTGCATGTCGAAGGGGAGAATCGCATCCCGAACATGCTTGCATTGCTGCTTAGAGTGGTCAGAAGACTGCATTTTGTCAGCGTCTTCACCAAATAGAACTATGTCATCTGCATATTCTAAGTCAACAAGTGAACCTCCTGGTAGAAGTTCAACCCCTGGAAATTTAGATGAGGAAAGTGTCATCTCTAAAAGCACGTCAATGACAAAGTTAAACAAGAATGGAGAGAGTGGACAGCCCTGAAGAACACCACTTGAGGCAATCAATTCTGATGACAGTTTGCCTTAAGCTCTCACTCGATCAGTTGTGTTCGAGTGGAGAGCGTTTATAAGGTTAATGTACTTCTTTAGTACTCCTTTCAGTGACAAACACTGCTATGGAACCTCACGATCAACAGAGTCGAATGCTGCCTTGAGGTCAAGGAATACTACGATTGTGGGGCTTCTGAATGTGTCTGTAATCTAGAACCTGACGTAGTGTGAATATCTGATCTATACAACCGCGTTCAGGTCGAAAACCAGCCTGGTTTTCTTTAGTCTGTTCTTCATGAGCTGTGGTTGGGTGTCGAAGTATTTTTGAAGCTAATATTTTAGACACTATATTAGTCAAACTGATTCCTTTGTGATTGTCACAAGAGGACTTTTGTCCTTTCTTATAGACTGGTACGATCAGTGATTTAGACCAGTCAGATGTGATTACATCCAGTTCCCAGATTCCACCTAAGACCTCAGTTAATCTCACTGCTAATACTGAACCATCACCCTTAAAAATCTCAGGGGTGAACCTGTCAGGGCCTGCTGCTCTCCCTCGCTTCAGATTTTCTATAGCTTTCTCAACTTCGTCAAGATTAGGAGGACTTATATTAACTTGCCATTCAGGTTGACTGGAGATCATGGGAAACCGAAGTGTGGCTGAAGGCCAGTTGAACTGATCCCTAAAGTGTTCTGCCCATCGATCCAATCTCCTAGATTAAGAATGTATAGTATGTTCATCTTTCTCTGAAATAGTTTTGCTTACAGTTGAGTTCGGACGATGGGCAGAATTTTTCGAAGGGCAGTTCAACTGGCCTGCTGCTCCGGCAACATCGGTCAGACTGTCCTGCCCCCCATGGCCGGTGACGACTGATCCACCAAACGAGGAGGAAGTCCGCAAGGAACTCCAACTCTTGAAGCGTTACAAATCACCTGGCCCAGATGACTTACCTCCGGCTCTTTTTAAAGGTGGTGGTGACTTTTTGACTAAGGAATTGACGACGTTGTTTACAAAGGTTTGGGAATTAGAGAGTGTACCAACGTCATGGAATGAGTCGATAGTTGTCCCTATCTTTAAAAAGGGTTCACGTCGTTCCTGCAACAACTATCGGGGGATAAGTCTACTTCCGATTGCGTCCAAGCTATTGGCTTCCGTCATACTTCGTAGGTTGTTCAAAACCCGAGAAAGATTGACTCGCGAGGAGCAGGCTGGGTTTCGTTCTGGTCGAGGATGTATTGATCATATCTTCACCCTCCGCCAAATGTTAGAACACCGCCATACTTATCAAAGGCCAACAATCGTAGTGTTTCTTGACATCAGGGCTGCCTTCGATTCGTTGGATAGGACTGTTCTCTGGGATTGTCTATTGAAGAAGGGTGTGCCTGAGAAGTTTATTAACATCCTAAAAGCCCTATATAAAAACACCTCAGGCAGAGTGAGGGCATACAACCACCTCTCTCCATTGTTCTATACGAGTAGTGGGGTTAGGCAGGGTTGCCCAATCTCACCATTCCTCTTCAACTTTGCCATCGATGACATTCTGGAAACAGCTCTGATGAATGTAAGTAATGGTGGTGTGGATCTGTTGCCTGGAGAAAGACTTCTCGACCTTGAGTATGCGGATGATATTGTCTTACTGTGCGATAATGCCCAAGGCATGCAATCCGCACTTAATCAGTTGGCAATCAGTGTCCGTAGGTATGGTATGTGCTTTGCACCTTCGAAGTGCAAAGTACTTCTACAAGACTGGCAGGATTCCAATCCTGTGCTCACCCTGGATGGTGAGCAGATAGAAGTAGTCGAGAAGTTCGTGTATCTGGGTAGCTGCATAAGTGCTGGTGGTGGCGTGAGTGATGAGATCAATGCACGTATAGTGAAAGCCAGAGCGGCTTATGCCAATCTGAGCCACCTTTGGCGCCTTGGTGATGTTAGTCTGGCTGTAAAAGGTCGGATTTACAACGCGTCGGTGAGAGCGATTTCGCTCTATGCTTGTGAAACCTGGCATCTCCGAGTTGAGGACGTTAGAAGACTCTGTGTTCGATCATCGCTATCTCCGAAGGATTGCTGACATCCAGTGGCAACACCATGTCAGTAATGCAGAGGTTCGGCTTCGTGTGTTCGGGTACAGAGATGGTAATGCAATCGATGTCACCATTTTGAAACACCGACTTCTGTGGCTTGGACATGTTCTTCGAATGTTGTCCCAGAGAATTCCACGTCGTGCATTATTTGCCGACTCTGGGACTGGTTGGAAGAAGCGGAGAGGTGGTCAGTGCATGACATGGTGTCGTGGTATGAAAGAAAGCTGCAAAGGACTGGCTTCTGTTGGTCCTTCACGACTCCCTGGTTGGGGTCCGAGAGATGGTGCTACACAGTGGCTAGAGACGTTATCAGATATGGCTCAGAATAGAAGCCAGTGGCGATCCTGCTGTAACCTTCTTTTACTTTCTTCATAAAAAGTGGTTGTGTCTCCCTTACTTGAAAGATTTCTTCTGATTGTACCTTTCCGTTCCATCGTTACGACCGCACTACCTTTCACCAATCTCTTTGTTATCGTTCTCTTTTTCTTTTGTGCTCCTTAGTTTTTTTTTCTTTTCTCTCTTCGAATTTTCATTGTTTTGTGTGGTGCATATATATTGGCGCTCTCTTGTACCAATATTTATGTGCTCAAATAAATAAACAGTTGAGTTCCTAATATGGGTTTCCTTAACAAGTTCGAACAGTTGTCTGCCATTCAGTCAGTCAGTCAGCTACAACGTAGGACCAGGCACGTATGTGCATCGGTCCAGGTTGCCATACCGCATCAGCACAACAAGATGAACACCGGATTCATAACAATGGTTAGGTAAAAGGTGGTAATATATAAGAGAAAGATTGCATATAGAGATATAGTACAAGAAGAAAGAATTGGTTCGTAGAAAGAAAGATATGAAGCGATTTTAATCTCTTAGTTTAAGGGAAGACAGAGATTAAAATCGCTTCATATCTTTCTTTCTACGAACCAATTCTTTCTTCTTGTACTATATCTCTATATGCAATCTTTCTCTTATATATTACCACCTTTTACCTAACCATTGTTATGAATCCGGTGTTCATCTTGTGCTGATGCGGTATGGCAACCTGGACCGATGCACATATGTGCCTGTTGAGGGTGAAGGATATATAATGCTTATATTTAGTTATCTTAAGAACATATACAACACATAAACTACTGGGTAAACACTATTGAGCAATAAACAGTTGAAGAACAATAGTATGTCAACTGATAAGTTTGCAAACCTGTATCAACAAAAGCGTTAACTAAACTGAGCCGTTCGTTTCCTCTATTAACGTATGTATTTCTTTTTATTCACATGGGCACTTTACTTACAAAACATCAGTGCACTTTTGTGCGTTGCTACTATTTTAATGAATAACGACGGTCATCTCTGTGATGAAAGTATTGATTGTTATCACACGGTCTGGGCACCCGGGCAGTATCCCAACCCTCACACAAATCGAATGAGTTATGTGGCGCATATCTAGTTAGTGCCTCCTTGTACCATTGTTTATGTGTTTTAATAAATAATTAAATAACAATAAGATGATATCTACAGTATACTGATTATAAAACCCATCTTGGGGGTAGATTTTTGATTATTATATGCGGAAAATCTAAGGTTTGTACTGAAGTTAACTGAGCTCGTTGTAAGACGTTTACTGTTGTCATTTATTCTGGTAGTTTTATTCGGCCTTAAAAGATATCGTGACTACAGTATCTACACAATTACAAACGTTTTTTGTCACTAATCTTCATTGCTAAAGGGATTCAGGGGAAACAAAGATTTCTTGGATTATTCAAACCATTCCCTTTAAAGAGAAGCAATAATTTCATTGGATGAAAGTTGATGAATACTGATAATACATTGAATTTTTTTATTTGCGTTTCATCGAAAATTTGGTGTTATAAAGTTTGGAAGTGTAGGGAATCCACCAATTAAGCACTATCGTTGTTTACAGTATTTTTCTGCACAAAGGTGATAGGTCAAATGATGATTCATGGTAACTCAAATATCCCTTATTTCCTTCTTCTTCTTATTGAATACCACGTTACTTTATAAATTTGCTAATTTTTTCGCACGTATTTTTTTGATAATATTAATGTCAATAGGTTTCAATCATTTTTATTTGCTCTCATCGCCCTAGTGTGAAGTTCAGTAGGTGATATGACCTTCCGAGCAAAGGACGAGTATACTGTTCAGTAGTTTGCTCCGTTATACGTTAGGAATTCGAAACGTGACTTCCAGAAAAAAAGAGGAAATATGCCTTGGTTACTAGTATTTGGTCATAGATGCGTTTTAAAGCATTGCTCGTTTATTCTGGACTTCCGGGCAAGAAATAATGAGGTTAGATGCAGAGTATGGTGAATCAGTTGACGAAGTTGTGCGGAAATGTCGAAGGAAAGTTAAGTCGCAACAAACTGCTGCGCGGGACTAACCCGTAAAATTATTGACTGGTAGATACAACCGTGTGAATGAGTGCATATTTTCGAATCAGAGTCCCCTCAATTATCGTTATTAATGGTTTGGGACATTTGGTGACATAAATCAGGACCAGTTGCATTGTTACGAATACATCCAATCTTTAATTTCCTTTAGATACTGAGCTTCGAAATTATCGTATACTCCTTCGCTATGATATTTCATTTCCCAAATCGTATCGTCTTTGTTTATTTTACTGCTATTGATAATGTTACTACTTCTGCTACCCTAGGATTTGTGTTGATAATTTCATCTCGCGCTAATATAATGTAGCAACTTGACCTGGTGTACATAAATCCGGGTTTGTACGTTGCTTATAACTGACCGACTGATTTCAGTTGAATAAATCGGATCAGTGCAATTTTGTATCGCGTTTTTCATTGTTACTATTTACTCAGCAGGTTCAATCTCTTTTGTTATTTCTCTCAGTAAATCATAAGTAAATATATTTTTTAAATTTTTCACAGGAAAATTTTACCGTAGAATTCAAACCTGATATGCGACATACAATTGTTCGGTATAATGGCCAAGTTTACCAAGGTCAGATTATGGATCTCCCATGCATAATAGAATCCTTAAAGACTACAGATAAAAAGAATTTCTACAAAACAGCTAATATCTGTCAAATGATGATTTGTACTCAAGGTGATGAAACTGGTCCACTACGTGGGACTGCTGCATATTTAGACAATCGTCCTGGTTCACGCAATAAAACATTTGATATTAGGTAAATATTTTAATGCCTGAACATATAATTGGTGTTTTATTAATGAATCAACTTATACTAATCTGTATTGAAGATAAATTTAAATCCTTACTTCTGTTTAGTTTGTCGTACACCTACTGTATTGGCGGTTACTTCATTTGAGTTAATTTTCTTTTCATAAAGAATTTTTTTGTCTAAATAAATATTCAGTGTTTTTCCCTTTTTTTAAAGTAATTTTCATAAAATTCCCTTATGGACTTACGTTATTAAGTATGAGTTGGAAAGTTCAGATTACTCAGCGTCAGTGTTATCTATTTTAATGAGGTCAATATATATTTTCATTACGTTTAGCGTTTGTTTTTCGGGAAGATGTTATTCATTTCAAATGCCCTGGTACGGCCGAGAGTGGGGAGAGTCCACTCCCCCCTCGAAATGCTCTCACATGGCCACGCGTATATAGCCTCTACCAGGGAAGTCCTACTCACTGCTTTCTCGTGGCGGTGGTGTTGTTTACGAAATTGAGAGGACGAAAAGCGAATGTCCGGCCCTCTAACCGGGTTGGTGAACACAGAGATTCCACCTTGGGGAGTTGGAAAACCACAATTCCAAACCAATGATGCACATGGGCTCCAGGATTATGAAGGAACAAGTGGCATATGAACCTATTGTTGGTGATCGGCTACCATGGGACTGCATCTCTTAACGTTGCTCTACTGCCTTGTGGATCAGACCTTTAGGTCAAAGGCTCTGGGTATGGCCCCCTAAGAAAATCACATGCTTCGGTTTGGGCACCCGGACAGTATCACAGCCCTCACACAAATCAAATGAGATTTATGTGGCGCATATGTATCTGGTGACCCCTTGTACCAATATCTATGTGTTAAAATAAATAAATAAATCATTTTGATGTACGGGGGAAGTCACTGTTAGCAGGTCATAGATTGATCAGAATTAAGTTTAACTTCCTGGGAAAACAGACTTACACTACTGGCTGAAGATCTGTCTTTATTTTTTGATGAACATGTGTTTATATTTCCAAATGAGTTGTGTATGTAGATCCATTTCGGTTAACCAATAAAAGCTTCTTACTCACTCTTGGTTTTTCACTTCTGTGGCTGATTGAGTTCACGTGTAGTAAGTGCATATATCCGTGGAAGAATAGGACAACAACACAATGGAACAAAAAACTTGTCAGTATATGAAGCTGATTTGTAGTCTGATATTTCTTTGGATTAAGCTACTAATTCACAAATCTTGCTTCAATGGGGATGAATGAGACTGTATCTTTTCCTCTTCTTCCGTATACGCTAACTGAAGACAGAATTCCAAAACCGTTTAGAAATTTCACTGATATACTGAAGAAGAACTAATTAATAGTTAAACTCATTAAAGTATATACCGATTATATTTAGTGATTTTTATTTGGTGAGTGTCATACTAAACAAATATTTGAAAAACACAGTTAAATGATTATTACGAATGAAAATACATTCATAGTTAACCGGACGAAAATCATCTGAGAATTAGTACAAGAATATTAGCAATGATTTTTTCCTAGAACATACTATTTAAGGATTTATAATGTTCCTATGGTCGTCCGAGTCTGCTGCTGATATACACGCTTCCTATATACTTGCCCAAACTGCCTACTTAAGTGGAAAAAATCAAGAGTGGGGAGCTTTAATTCGGTAATCCGAGTCCAAAATCTGTTCATAACTCATTCAAAAATATGTATGTCACCCTCAGAAATTAAACCGGATTCTCAACCAGAGGCTAAATCAAATATTGACCAGTAGGGTACACTCGTAATTATCTCTCACTTGCCATTTGACCTTAAACTGAAATGTCTACTTGGTCTAGCGTATCAAGATTTTACAACCTCGCAAAGTCACCGTATTATCTACTCAAAGAATATTTCATTTGTTTTAAATAGATATTTCAAGAACCTCAGCTGGCTTTTATCAACTAGCGTCCCTTATAGTGTAGACGCGATATCTGTCTACCAACTAATGATCTAATGTGTTGTTGCAATTCACTCAGTCCTACTTTATCGATCTGAAGATTATCCATTAAGAAAAGAGGTTATTCATGGGTCCCTAGTATTCGACCATAGGCGCTTTCGAACCATTTCTCGTATATATTTTTTGGAACGATTAGTTTAACGATTTCTAGGTTAGACCCAGAGTACAAACTAAGAATAGTGAGCCGATTGACGAGGTAATGAGACCCTATCTACTGAGATGGTTGGGCGATTCATTACGTACCCCCTCCACTGGCTGCTTTGATGCGCGATAATGACTGGTGTGGGAATAGGCTTGAAAAGAAGCTTAAAGCGGCCAAACTAAGAGATGGAATTAGTCCATGAAGACACTGAGCGTTGGACTGTGCTATGTAGATAGATGCAGACTACCTAGTTGGGGTCCGCAAGATTATCGTGACTGATGGTTAGACACAAGTCGACATGGCTCAAAATCTTTCACCCCGACTCACCACGTCTTCCATTAGATCTTAAGTTTTCAAATTCCTTGCTAATTTTTTTGTTGCTCTAATTTATATGTTCTAAAACTATCTTACATACCTAACCTTTTCCATCATAATTCATTCTATTACTACCTTTACTACTCTATGATTTTTCCTATTTCATCTCACTGTGCTAACGGGCTAATGGGAAGTTGAAAAGATGTGCACTTATGTCAGATTGTACGTTGTGTATGACTGACAGGTCTAGACGTTAGAATATTGAATAACTAGTGGTTACTCGATTATAGTCATTTGGTTAGTCATAAACGTCATGAAATTTAGCACAGTTTCCTACCTCGATCCCGAATTCTCACGCAGATGATGTAGTCCTGTTTGGTGAAGACGCTGATAAAATGAACTGAGAAACAACGCCAGGGCGTTTGGGATGTTTCTTCCCCCCTAGATGAAAGTTGTTGCTTCAGGACTGGTCTGCGTCAACACCTGAACTAGGGATAGGGAGTGAAGTAGTCGAACGTGTTGACAAATTCACTTATCTTGGAAGTCTGATCAGCCCTAATGGGTTGGTGATTGACGAAATCTCAGCACGGATTCGAAAAGCTCGTTTGGCTTTCGCCAACTTACGTCACCTATGGCGAAGGCGAGATATCAGTCTATCAATAAAAGGACGAGTATACTAGTATTTGACCACAGATGCCTTAGATATATTGCTGGCATCTGTTGGGATCACCGGGTAAGTAATAGTGATGTTAGATGCAGGGTATTAAGGAATGATGGTAAATCAGTTGAGGAGGTTGTGAATCTCCATCGACTGAGATGGTTGGGCCACGTGTTGTGTATGCCTGAACACTGATTATCACGACGCGCAATGCTTACTGGTGTAGGGGGTGGTTGGAAGAAAGTTAGGGGTGGCCAAACCAAAACGTGGCATCAGTGGTTGAAGTCACTAACTTCTAGTCTGAGCCATGTTGGTAGATACAGACTACTTGATTGGGGTCTGTGTGACTATGGTAACAAATGGTTGGAGATTCTGGGTTGCATGGCTCAGAATCGATCACAATGGTGTAGTTATATACACTCTCTGTTTTCCTTTAAACTATCAGATTAAAATCACTACATATCTTTCTTTCTGTGAACTAATTCTTTCTTCCTGTACAATGCCCTTATCTGCAATATTTCTTTTATATATTACCACCTCTGAACTAACCACTTCTATGAATTTGGTGCTCATCTTGTTGTGTTAATGAGGTATGGCAAATTGGACCGATACACATATGTACCCGGTCTTACATTGTAGCTGACTGACTGACTTTTTCCATTACCTTACAGTGATAATAAATCGGAATAAAAGTTAAAATGCAGAAAGTTGTGTCCCTATTCGTAGGAAACTTTACGTACTACGTATTATTTCGAAAAAAACTCAATGAACTCGAGAAATGAAAAGTAGGAAAAAATGATAAAGCTCCAGATTCACAAGGAAGATGATGAATGTATACGTCTATGCCATTATATCTGATTTTTGGATCATGATACTTAGGGTCCAATCAGAGTGATTTATGATTAGGCAGGGAATGAAGATAGAGATATTCACCTCCACTTAATATCCTGGGGCGTAAAGTTCGTTTAACTTTAGATCCCATCTACTAACCTCTTGCTACTTGTGTCACTAAACTCTCGTTTTGGTTTAATTTTGTTCCTGATTGAACGGTAAGGTAATCAAGTAACTGTATGCCGCTTGATCAGGTATCGTGATCTAGTCTCTTGTTCTAACGTTGTAATTATAACTTTGTCCTAATAGAAAGTTTGCGTTTATTGTTACTTCTCGAATTAATAGTCAATAACTTTATAATGTCACGTCATATTTTAGTAGCGTAGTTGCCCTAACGTTTCAGCTTACTCATTTTCTAGATAATATTGTACGTCAGAGTAGGTAATTGCTGGAAAGGTGTATTAAGCATTAGGCTCTGTGGTCGCGCTTTCAGCTCGTCAAGGCCATCCTTAATCCATTTTCCTTTTCAGGTATTTCCAAAGGAATTATCTTGCCATAATGTGTGTAACTGGGAAGTGACAACCATCCTCATCCCTCTAACAGTACTCGAGATTACCTCGTTCACATAACTGATTTTTTAATAAATTTGAGTTTTTGTTATTATTGTGGAAGATTGCTGATACATCTCTCTGCATACTCACGAATGATACAATTCATTAACCATATGTACACACTCCAGTATTAAAATTCGAACCAAAATTATTGTATAAAGGTTAACTAGAAGAGTAAATAGTAGACTATAAACTGGGATCTGTTATTTGTTAGTTAAATAACATGCAGCGAAATTGGTCGTAGTTGTATTCTTTATAAATTAGGTGTTGTTTGTAAGTTTTTTATCCCTCACTCCCACTTGTTTCTTGAGGAATGTATTCCTCCTGTTTCAGTCTCCAACAGAGATGAACTTAATTCTTATCCTTTACTTCTACAGCATAGAAGTAGGTTGAAAGGAAGCTAAGGGTAGCCAAATCAAGACATATCTTTTGTCCATGAAGTTATCGACTGTTATTCTGAGTCAGGGTTCTGGTTTCGGAATATGTGGCTAGTGTATTTGTGATAACAGCGATCACTGATTAGGGACATCCAGTGAAGTTCCTAAAATCGATCAAAATAATGTAGATGCCTTCACTCTTTATCTTCGTTTAAACTTTGAGTCCCAGTATTCCTTCACGCATATCTTTCCACTTCGTTCCTTCGGACCATATTCCCAATGTTTAGTCTTTCTCATTATTATCACTACTACTATTTTGACTCATTTGCTGTTCATTTTGTGGATTTTATCTTGTCGTGTTAATGTGATATGACAAATTAGGCTAACGCATATTTGTTCCAAGTTCTACATTATTTGTTGTTCATAGCTAATGTTTTCTCGTCGTCTTGTTAATTCTACTTCTCGTTGTATTTGTGTAAGGTATAATACCTTGCGCAAATACTCAATCATTCCAGGCCCTATGTTGATTATGATTGATTGTTAGGCTAACATTTGTGTGGTTCTTCATATGTATAATACGACCTGTTAATTGTAATCATTATTCTTTAGATATTTTTTAATGCCCAAATGTATTTCTCTCCATTTCCCCATCCTGGTCTCCTTATTTTGGTAATTCCATCGCAATATACTCCATTTAATCTCATATTTTTCTTATATTAGTCATGAAAATCGAGAATTTCAATTTCTTCATGGGATAACACCACCATTAAAAAATGTCTTACATCGTCGATTTCGTAAAACGCGTAGAAAACGTTTTGTTGATATGCCTAAAATTGAGAAAGAAGTCAAACAACTACTGCGAGCTGATTTACAAGCTGTTAATGTAAAGTAAGATGTTTACCTTCTATATATTCTATTCTGTTCTATTTTTATTTTCTTGTAACCTATCAGTGTATATGATACTAATCTCAGTAGGGCTAAATAAAGTTCTACTTATTTTCACTATATAGAATAAATTGACTGTGGCTGACAGTGGAATATAGGACGTGTGTTTCATACTACTTGGCACTTATCGGCTGAATGTACTTGGGTCCCAATGTTCCTATTCATATCCTGAGGGAAAAAAATGGCGTACGAACCATTTATCGGTCATTGGCTGCCATGAAACTGCATCTCCTGACGTTGCTCCACTGCATTATGGATAAGACCTTTTAGTGGCCCATGACGCGCATGGAAGATGGCTGGGAAGCCAACTCTATTTCAAGCTAGGCATTACTCAATATTTATAGGCAGACAAAATAAACGACAAACATGTGATGAGTCATGGGACATGAAATGTACACACATACGCTCATATGAAAACAGTCAAGACTAATAAGCGAATAATTGACAAGGTCAAAATATGACTCAAGCAGAATGAATAGAATGAAATGTCCGAAAACTAGAATAAGATATATTATGGGCTGGAACTAATGACTAACACTACATAGCCCCCTCGTAGAAAATAGCACATTTAAAAAATGTCTGTTTTCAAAAATAATACTGAAGTGATATGAAGTTAACGTTAGCAACAAGTAGCGAAAAAATTTGTACAACACTCGATAAAGTACAGTAGTGTCACATGAGCGGTGAGTGTATTATATGAAAATGTCATATTTATGTAAAAGAATACATGAATATAGAAAAGGCGCGGACAAAAATGGGAACGTTAGCATGCGAATATGAGCAAATTAATGAGCGTACAAAAAATTAACATGTACTAATGCTATGACTGTCTGAACGATAAAATAACACGTTTGTATGAGCGATTCAAAATATCGTGAAAATAGTAATAAATTGTTTGTGGGTATGACAGCGAAATAAATCGTCAAAATGAGTACAGTAGAATATGACAGAAATTGGTCTGTGATGCTGACGAAATAGTGAAATATGTTAGATATATGTTCTGTTGAGCCGCAGTAGAATAGGTAGCATCGACTAGCGATGAGTGAATTTGAATTTAAATGAGTAGTTCCCCATTCGTAGGATGATAATAGGCAAGTCGTGAAATGATAACTGCATTGACGAGTGATATTCGTTGCTGTACTGCAATTGATAATAATCATAAAATGTGAAGTCAGTGAACGTTGTCGTCTGCGTTATGACAGATGCATTGAGTTATCGTTAAATATGTAATGGTAGAACGACCAGAGGAACAGAATAGTGACTGAGTAGACGAAGTACGTAGAGTCTTATTCCTTTTTGGTCATGAAGCCTAGAGTGGTTTGTGTGGTTTGAGGGAGATGCGCTCGATCTCGTTTATTACAAAACCGTACCAAGGCATGACAAAAATACCAATACATATGATTAGCGATGGCGATGTATGAGACTGACTTGGATGTGACGAACAAGAGTGTATCTTTGAGAGACTAGCTCTAAACTCTATGTTCTGATATACCGTGCGATGGGTATAGAATAGTAGTTGCAGTACTCGAATAACGTTTTTGGTTGATAAATGATGCGGCGTGCAGTTATGCATGTGAAAGAATAGATAAGATGAACGTAATGGTTTCTAATCAGCTAGTTAGATGCATCCACAGACATAATAGGAGGCGATTTCGAAATGAGAAATGTTGTGATAACATAACATAATGACCTCGACTAAGTGAATGAATGCAATATTAGATCAAATGACATGAAAAAAAATGGAACGAACTCACTTAAAGCAGGAAAATTTCATGTTTTGAATAGTAAAAATATTCCAATGAGTTTTGAATGTCATAAAGTCGAGTGTTCATAAAATGATAATCTGTTCGGTGAACAATATGATTGCGAAAATATCATAATTTAATGACAGCATGAACATGATTAATAATTCCACATTCGGTCATGATATTGAGAATCATGTAATAATAAGCATATAATGATAATTCGAATCGTAATGGAGCAAACCGACGCATGGATCAATGAGAATAGTTGACATGAGGACAAAGTATCGATGAGATAATACGACTTGAGCATGTCCATGTCATGTTGCACAGGCTGTGCTGATTGCGTCGGATTGAAGATTGCGCTGGCTTTGCTGAATTTGTTCGTCGAACGTATAGAGTGCAGAAGTTCCTTCATCGACGTAGCTTGCTGCGTTGCGTTCGTCGTCGGCGGGCTTACCAATGATGAGGCCCGTTGATCTGACTCCATTTAGATTGTACGAATGATTGTTATCACCTATTCTCGTATATCATCGTCGACTTAAATCACGTTAGTCCATAACGGAATTAAATAAGTCAATTAACGAGAATGGCATTTGAATACATATATTTTGTATGTAAAGTGAATGCGATAGAACAAAACGAAATGACGCGCTGGGAAGATGGCTGGGAAGCCAACTCCAATTCAAGCCGAACATTACTCAATATTTATAGGCAGACAAAATGAACTACAGACATGTGATGAGTCATGAAGTGTACACACATACGCTCATATGAAAACAGTCAAGACTAATAAGCGAATAATTGACAAGGTCAAAATATGACTCAAGCAGAATGAATAGAATGAAATGTCCGAAAACTAGAATAAGATATTATGGGCTAAAACTAATGACTAACACTACAACCTTTAGGTCGAGGGCTCCGGATGTGGCCCCCTAAGGAAACTACCTGCTTCTGTCTGGCACCTGGTGCAGTATCACAGCCCACACATAAATCACGTGACTTATGTGGCGCATATATATTCAGTGCCTCTTTGTACCAATATTTGTATGTTCAAATAAATGAATAAATGTCACATTGATACTACATCCTGCTGTCTTTTCCTTTAAACACCTAACGCGTTGTTAACCATTGAGCTACTGAGTCCAGATATTGATGAATGCGTCCAACGTGTATGATGTTTACAATATAGATTTGAAGTATTCTGTTGTTGTAATTCGGAATGGGATTTCAACCAGTTTTTGTTCACATGTAGTCATCATAAGTGGATTTTTATAGTGTAACTATTTGGTTACAACTTTTACAGAACAGAGAGAAATTATGATTAACATTGAATAATTCAAATCTATACTACTATCACTGATGATAATAATCTGTCTTCTATGATCATTGCAAATAAGTGAATTTTCGTTTAGTAATACTGATTTTCATCATAAATGAATCTTATTTAAGCAACTGTAAGGAGAAGAAAGACTATGAAGCTATAAACAAAGGACCTATTATAAACGTCATTTCTCCAGTCTCTGTGATGATACATATTCAAGCTTCCCTTCACAACAATTTAAATAGTTAAACTTTTTATCCACCTAAAGATATTGGATTCGATCATTTGTAATGTTATACGTCTGTGTGCGCTACTAAATAGCTTCCACTCTTAAAACAGCAACAAATTTTCCATCTTTATTTAATACACATAAATTCTGCTACAATACTGGGACGAAAAAATGCATCACATAAATCAAGAAATAAAGGGGAGAGGGATTTGCAGTCAATAAATTAACAAACAGAAATAGCCTAATAACAAATACAGTTCAGTTAAAGATGTAACGTAGATAGATTTGCTTAAGTTAAGATAACTTGCAGTGGCTTGGCATACAGGTAATTCCTTAGGCTTCGTATATCAATTATTCTGATAACCGTTATTAAATAAATATGAATGCTGTATGAATTTAGATGGCAACATGAAGCGCCGACTACAGTTTATCATTGTCTAACGCAGATAACAAACCTACAAACACACCAAGCGACTTGGAGCAGAAAAGCTAATACGCGCGAGAAAACGGATACAAAGACAAATTCAGAGTCGAATCGATTAATAAGATTCAAGTATATATATACCACTCCGCTACTCTAGAAATACAATTAATATATCAGACTTTATGTTGTACAAATATAAGCTTTGTTTTAACTTCAGATTTATATATCTTTTCTAGATGGGAAGTTATCTGGACTGATCCACCTGCGCCTGTAATACGATCGAATGGAAATAACAATAAATCAAGTCTATCTAATAATGAAACCGATAGTTGTAATAATGTTCAATTAGGCAATCAACAACGTACAGCTGATGATGAATTAGAAGAGGAAGAAGATGAGGACGGTATGTTTAGTATTTCATGTGTGTTGAAAGACTAAGTTAATAAGAGCTAATCGGAGTTTAGTAACTTTGTGGATAATACAATTTCGGAGTTTGAAGCAATAATGACTCAGATTTGAGTTTCAATGTAAACATCAACATTAGGATATAAGTAGTTGTTGTTAAGTCTAAAAGAGAATGAAAGATGTGTCCTAGACTCTGCTGTCAGTCATATACTGAACGTAGTAAATCGTTTTTAATATAATTCCAAATTTTTGTTTATAAATTTTAATTAAGCTGTTATATGTTTTAAGGTTCAAAACAAAGTCTCTGATTCGTTTTTGTATGCATAAATTAAGCATAATGAGGAATTGTATAAGTAGTTTCGTGATCAAATGACAGTATTTATTTGAATACAAACGATTTATTTATTTATTTAAACACAAACATCGGTAGAAGGAGGAACTAAATAGATATGCGCCACACAAATGATCCAATTTGTGTCAGGGCTAGGATACTGTTCAGGCGTTCAAACCGAAGTAAATGGTCTCCTTAGGGGGGCCACTTTCCGAGCTTTTGACCTACAGACTTAATCCACAAGGCAGTAGAGAAACTTAAGATGCAGTCCCATGGTAGTCGGTGACAACCGATTGTTTCATACACCATTTATTTCCTTAGGATCTTGGAGCTCGTGTGTACCATTGGTTTAGAATTGTGGTTTTCCAACTCCCCTTGTTAGATCCTGTGTTCACCGACCCGGGTAAATCCGCTGGACATTCACTTTGTATCCTCAATTTCGTAAACAACATCCCCAGCGGGAGAAGGCAGTAAGTAGGACTTCTGTGTCAGTGGCTGTATACGTGTGTCCATGTAAGAGCATTTAGAGATGGAGAGTGGACTCCTCCCACTCTCGATCGTATTAGGGCATTCAAAGATACAAACTTATCTAAACAAACTATTTAGATAATTTTGGTGCTTACATTAACCTGTGACTCGGTGAATAATCAATCCATTCATTCTTTCTGGCCTTAGTCTTACAACCACATTTACATTAACTTATAGTACAACCTTGATGCCATAATTAATTTCAACAAATCATCTCTGGTAATCCTTTAATATTATCGACGGGAGGTTAGAATCTCTATCCATCTCCTACTTCAGTTTAAAGGATAGACTAACTATCAAATTTGAATCACCTCTACTGTCTCTTATTTACACAACAATATATATATATATATATATATATATATATATATATATATATATATATATATATATATATATATATATATATATATATATATATAGTCTGTACTTGATTATAGAGTTTCGTATTTACACTTATTATTATTTAGTTTATAATGAAAACTATTGATATTTATCAAAAAATAGACAAGGATTCAGTTGTGATTATAAAGTTTGTCTAACTAAAATTGATAAGAGATTCTAAACCGGTAAGTGAAGTACAATTAGTTAGGTTGAACTGATAACTGTTTTGTTATCCACTTTCAAAAACCACGCCGGATAATGTTCTAAGATGCGTTTAGAAAATGATCGGTTTTTGCGGCCACTGTAACCTACTCCATAAGAGCAAGTAAATTTATAGATGCACATTGATGTGGCCTAAGGCAGAAGTTTATCCTTAACATATCCGTCAATAGTAGACCGGCTTGAGAAAATAATGTGAAGCTTAGCTGAATAGAACGTTTTGTTCAGGGATTTTGAGATCTGTTTATTCAAGATTTTAGCAACCATATCTCCTTTAAATTCGATGTTCATAAAAGAGTTTTCTTTTGAACTGTTGATGTTTTTCAAGATGCTGTCTAGGTGCTAAATTTCTGTCGACGAATCTAGGTGGATAAACATTTCCGACAAGTGTCTGTCGAAGTCGAAGTAGTTCGTCATCTATTGTGTCAGTAGAATATATTCGCCTATTCCTTGAGGTAAAGAGTGAGCTATGGAAATTCATATGCACGTTGATAGTACATCGTACAAGTAGCTCTTTTAGATAATGCTTTGGCATTAAAATATCAAGGTTGTTATTTTCAATACAGTCCCATAATAATCCTATAATTTCTGTGAGACATTTGTCAAGAGAGAAGTGAGATTCAATGAGATCATTTTTCTGCCATTTACATTGATGTTTCTAATTGAGTCGACAAAGTCAAAGGAATCAAGAGAGTTGTATTTAGTGATGTGATCTCTGACGTTTTAAAATCTCAACTAACCATTTAGCATTCGAATGATATGTATAGTTATTCATATCAAGTATAGGACGTAGTGGGACATCCTTCTTTTTTTACAAATGTCCCACCCACAGAAACTATATGTTTTTTTATGTTCTCCAAGTTTCAGCTCCATACAGTAGAACTGTATTTACATTTGTTTTGAAGATTCTAAATTTGGTGTTGGCTGACTTAAAGCCGTAGGACCCATTTTAATGCCTTTTAATTTAGTTTAAACTACCGACTTGAGGATTAAAGTCACCCACTATTGCTGTATCTGAGCCTTTAGCTTTTGTTAGGAGGGTTGAAAAGTACCGATAAGATTATTCTGTTAATTTATCTAAACCTGAAACAGTAGGAACAAGGGCGGAGACAATGAAGAAGTAAGAGTTTGTGTCTCCATTTTCCAGAGCTTTTGTCGTTCCCTTCATTCGGACACTTTGAAAGCAACTATCTTTTAGAATTCATCCCCGGTTAGTCTGTTCTGCTTTTTAATTTAGTGCTATACCTACACGTTCGAGGTCACAGGAATTAGTAGTGGGACTTCAAATACACCAAGAGTAAATCGCACCTGTTTTTTATATTGATAAAGTGAGGTCAAATGAATGACTACTCAGATCGTGTGCGCGCGTTTCGAAGATACAATTCCAGATCTTCTCTAACCTCCTGCACTAGCAAGCATGACTTGTCGGTGAAGATTCCCTTCATCAATCGATTAGCCCCCTATACTCAACGTTAAGATTATTCACCCAGTCATCCCACGGAACATAAAAAAATGCCTCGAAGACACCTACAATCAAAAGCCTTCATCCGACGCGTGTCTTCTAGAACAACAAAAACTGATCAACTACAGCCTTGAATTTCGTCAACAGGAATTCACAAATTCTTGCTAATCTATAAATATTTTTTTAAATGACACTTCAGTGTATAAAGTAATGTATCTTTAATTTCATTAAACAAATTAATCATCATTCCAGGTGGACGAGCATATGCAATAGATCATCGTGATGTATTCGGTGAAATAAGCAGTAGCAGTATTGGTTCTTCAAGTGATAGTGACGACAACAGTAGTAGTAGCAGTCATCGCGGTAATGCAGGTGGTGGCGGCGCTGACCGTCGTCGTCATCGTCACGAAGGAGGTGGAGGAAGGGAAATACTTGGAAGTAATGATCATCCTAGTGATAATGATGAGCACACTGTTGTTGGTGATGGCAAAGTAAAAGATTATAATCAATCATCTGCACAAAATCAAACTACTGATAATAATCCTTTAATAGTAAGTTTCGGAAAATTTTCTATTATGTGTAAGAAATATGTTTTCCTGACTGTATTTCTGATATATATAGATAAATGATTACAACCTAAATCAAAAGCTGTGAAAGGTACATTTAATTTTTGCGTGTTTTATAAATCTATTGAAGTTTACAATAGGTGCATTGGTACTATTATAGGTCTGTTACAAAACCTTATGTTGTATGATTGCAAATCATTTGATACTGTACAAGAATAAAAATTAACCGATTTTACACTTAGAACTAGGAATGAAATGTGCTATAAAACTAATTAGACAATTTGTTATGTCACAGAATGCACATATACCAATGAGAGATTGATCAATTACAGTCCTAAACATTAGTGACAAGATTCAAACAACCTTTACAAATATGAATTAAACTTCATACTATTGCACAAGCTAGTGAATCTCTAGACTCAGTGACTAGTTTAATAACGCGATGGCGTTTTAACCAAATGGTACTGGGTTCGAATCTCGGGGAGAACATCAACTTTGGGATGCAGGTAAATCCATCTGAGGAGTCCCAAAAATAGGACGAAACCCGCATTCTAGATTCAACTACTAGCCACCATTCATCTCTGCTGATTTGTTATGTAAATTATATAAGTTTAGATCTACCTACCAGCAATATAATTCTACATCGATATATATATATATATTGGCGCTCTCTTGTACCAATATTTATGTGCTCAAATAAATAAATACATCGATTCAATTATCGTGTTCCCCGGTGCACCACCGGGATTAAGTAGGACCTAATGTAACTTTTGGAAAAATTTAAGGTAACTTATTGAACTCAATTAGTCGATCATTTATATTATGTAACTCTGTATATTTTAATGTTCGTAATTGATAGTTGAATTACAATTAGGAGGATATGAAGAGAAGTTATTATATCATTACAAAGAGAATGAACAATGATTGTCTATCTTAATTAAAATAACTCAAACTCCTCAGTATGTTATTAGAAGTGGGAATTTAATGGCTTGTTCTGGAAAATTCAATCAGATAAAACAATACAAATAGATTCAGAATTATTTCCTTGTAAATTGCCAATTATTTAATACACTTGTTATATCCTAACAAAGAATAAATCAATGGTAACTGCTAGAATCTATTTATAGTGGTCCTGAGTACTGTTAAGGCTGTGAAACGTGGCCATTAAGAGTAGAAGATACTCGTAAACTACTAGTATTTGACCACAGATGCCTTAGATATATTGCTGGCATCTGTTGGGATCACCGGGTAAGTAATAGTGAGGTTAGACACAGGGTATTAAGGAATGATGGTAAATCAGTTGATGAGATTGTGAATCTCCATCGACTGAGATGGTTGGGCCACGTGTTGTGTATGCCTGAACACCGATTATCACGACGCGCAATGCTTACTGGTGTTGCGGATGGTCGGAAGAAAGTTAGGGGTGGCCAAACCAAAACGTGGCATCAGTGGTTGAAGTCACTAACTTCTGATCTGAGCCATGTTGGTAGATGCAAACTTTATTATTATTTAATAATGCAGACTACTTGGTTGGGGTCCATGTGACTATGGTAACAAATGGTTGGAGATTCTGGGTTGCATGGCTCAGAATCGATCACAATGGTGTAGTTGTATATACTCTCTGTCTTCCCTTAGACTATGAGATTAAAATCACTTCATATCTTTCTTTCTACGAAGTAATTGTTTCTCCCCGTATCATATCCTTATATGCAATCTTCTATATACTACCCCCATTGAAGTAACTACGTCTATGAATCCAGTGTTCATCTTGGTGTGCTAATGAGTTATGGTAACTTGAACCGATGCACATATGTACACGGTCCTACATTGTAGCTGACTGGCAGACTGAGAATCTATTTATAGACTGATATATATATTCACATTCCTTTTATTAGAAGCTTCCAATTATATATTGACTATTGCTATTGGAATTACTGTTCTCACGTTATTCCAAATGTTTTGATGACTGTTTCTTACACTCAACCACATTTGGCTTGGTCTTGTATAGTTGCTATTTTTCTACTTTATGGTATGATGCTGTCTGGTTTGCTTGTATATAAACCCAGTCTGTTTAAGACATATGATTCATACAGTGGAAGCTTAGATTGTGTTCTGGACTCGAACGGACAGGGATAGGCGTGAAGAACCAATAGGCACTCAGAATTGATTCTAGGCTGCTCGTACCGGTCGACACGTCAGTGGTTTGGAGAGATGCGAATGCCGTGGAAGTCTATATCCTGATTGGCGATCTTGTTACATGATATTTAACGGTATAAGAAATAACAAGTCTGTTTTGTATATTCAGAGATGAGTGAATTAATTAACGAAGGTATTCAGTAATAACATTCTAATAATATATGTTCTAATTTTTTTTCAATTTTTTTTTCGCTTTTCATTATTAGACTAATCAATCAACTTCAGAAACTGTATATAATAAACTAAAACCTACCACTATCACTTCAACAACTAACGATCTCGTTAATGATGTTATTTCTGCTACTACTTCTATCATTCCTGTTGATAATCTTAAAGATGAATTGGCTGCGGAACTTTTACTATCTGATTCCGGTGATGAACAAGGTGATAGTGTTGATGATGATGATTTACAAACTTCTGTTGTTACTGAATTAATTGCAAATTCTACTAGTGATAATCCTATGAATATTCAACATCTTCATAATGCTACAATAAATAATCAAATTGACGATGATTGTATTGTAACTGGTACCATCACTGATCTAGATAATTTAGTGGATGTGGTCGTTAATGATGGAAATGATGTTGATGAAGATGATGATGATGAACGTAATAATATTATACATAGAGGTGGTGAATTATTGGATGATAATTCATTTATGGGTTTCACGAATACAACAACACAAAACTATTATAATGTATTCAATGCAGACATTGATGATGAAGATACTTCGTAATAAGGAAAATAACAAAAGCAGGCGAGTTTATTACTAAACCTGAAGATCCTTATTTTAATGCCTGGTGTAGTTGTGGATACGCACTACACAGAACAAAACAGTTGTCTAGTGATTGTAGATTTTCAGTATTTATATAGGTAATATCTGTTCATGATATAAAGTATGCAACTCAACAATCTCAGAATCTGTCTATCAAGCAAACGTATCTTCCGTGTTTTAATTTGCACAATGAGAACCTTCTACAGTTTTCTCTTTATATAATCTGTAAGTGTATGATACAATGTGAGTTTAAAGTTTACATTGAGATCTTGAACCGATTGGTGTTAGACCACCATTGAAAACCTGAAAGTACCGGACGGTCGTTTTGTCCTATTTTGGATGCGCACTGCCGAGGAGTCCCAAGAGTATTTGTACGTAGTCTTGCAAAAAAAGACTTCGCTGTATTGCGGAGAGTGCTGAAGGCAGTTAGCAAGGTATGTGGCGAATCTTTCGAGGTCATAATTAATATGGTTGTGGACAGACATCTAAAGTCATGCAAACTCCAGGCAGGTGTTATATTAACTATAACTTCATTGATAACGAAAACCAAACTTTAATCATTCAGGAATTTCTTGGCTTTCTATATAAATTATTCCTTTATACAACTAATTTACTTACGTACTCCTGTTACTCCGCCTGGAGCCCCTCTGGGGCTACTGCCGATCCCAAGCACGGATGAACTAGGAGGGTTTGGCATGGGGTTAGCGACCCTATCCCGTAGAAAACTAATTCGCTAAAGAAACGCTAACCAGAAAAAAAAGTATACAACTAATATTCTCTCAAATTAACTCCTAGATTAACTGTTTAGCAATAACATATGCTTGTAGTATCAACCGTCACATCAAACCTACTTCAACCGTATCAATAATCAAGTATAGTTTAATGATTTTCTTCAAATATTGTTCTCTCGCTAAATTTTTTACTACAATTGAACACCGTATGGTTCGCTTTTATGCATTTTTATTATTCAGGTGACTTATTATCATTATTTTGTTTTATTGAAACATTTCAATTGGTTCATCATAAAATTCAAGATATTTCTTTGAGTTGATTGCGACAACGATGAGTATATATATATATATATTAGTGGCTCCAGGATTTGACTCCATATAGATCGTATGAATGATTGTTGTCGAAATATACATCCTGACTATTCTCGTATATTGTTATCGACTTGAATCACATTATTGATTTGAACAGACAATCAGAGATATGAAACAAAGAGAAGAGAACGAAGCAAAATGACGTATAGTGGAGATGGTTTGTGGGCCAACTCAATTTAATCAATATTTATAGTCACATAAAAACAAGCTACAGAGATGTGATGAATAGGATAAGAAGGGCACACACATAACCTTACATAAAAATAGTCAAGATTGATAAGCAAATATTTAACAAGGTTCAAATATGGCTCAAGATGAATGAATGAATTGGCTTGTCCAGAAGCTAGAATAAGGTATCTGGGCTTAACATCGTATTGCACCGCAGCGATTGCATAATAGCACTCATGTGTTCATTAGAAATGATAATCATAATTGGTATTATTAATGTTTCATTTGTTTCCATGTATTTTATATTACCGTGAATCAAATTTATTATTATTACTGTTTTTTTTTTTTGGTATTTTCTTCTAGTGATTAACGTATGTTGCTAGCCTAATTTATTGTTACTTCATTTTGTTTATTATTTGAAGTGATGAATTGGGATACATTGGATAATTTACAATTTCTATACATAAATATGCACTTTACATTTGTAAATAAAAATCTACTTTTATATTTCATAAATTTTGTTCTCTTTACAACAAATAATAACCTATCAACCACTGAAGAGTAAGAGAGCGTTTCTAGCAGAATTAGTTTATGGAACTCTATTGTACGTAAATGTTTTCCGACTGATGTAACTAACTACGTAAAACCTCTAAAAAAGTATATGAACAATTTAGAAAAATAAATAAAAATAATAAATTTGTAATATCTCAATGAGTAGAAAAATTAGATTTTCTGACGTTTCGTAACTTAATGTAAGTCACTTCTTCAGAGAATAAATAACCAAATCAAAATTAATCCAAGTTTAAATAGTACAACAAAGCAATGCAAGAATAATATTTGATCAGTCAAATTGTTTCGTTGTACTATTTAAACTTGGATTAATTTTAATTTGGTTATTTATTCTCTGAAGAAGTGACTTACATTAAGTTACGAAACGTCAGAAAATCTAATTTTTCTACTCATTGGGATATTACAAATATATTATTTATTTATTTATAACAATCTACCCAATGCTCAATTTATTCGAAATTATCAAACCAAACCTTGGTAATGAAACATAATTTAGAAATAACTCTTTGTAGACATCAGCAATGACAAATATACATACTACAATTGCTTAATAGCATTTATGTGTTTAAAAAAGATAATGTACAATATCCTGTGTAACCGAATTATGACGGTCCGTTTAACGTGCTTCTGATGAAACTGATAAAGCAATTACTGTAGGGAAATGGATGTAATCAGTATTGACTGGGTTGAACCAGCTTTCATTGAAAGTGATGATCAATCGAAAAATGCAAATCCTTCAAAAACTGTGGAATCACTGAAATGTGAATCTTAAGCATCAATGATAAATATGATGAAGAAACTCCAGTGACGACGAGATATAGTCATAGAGTTAAATGACCGCTATGATATATAATCAAAACTTTGCATTAGTAATTTCTTTCGCTGTTTTGAACATAAATTATTTTATTCCTTTTCTTCTTGTACGCGGGCATCGTTAACCTTACATTATCTTTCATACAATTCGATACATTTTGTATATTTTCACCCCTAATATGTATAAAAATGATACCATACGCTTCTGATGCTTTATCTGACCTCACCGATGTACATAAACACATATAACCTTACAGGGTAGTTTTGGTTTTTTTATAATACGATATTCGAGTGCATTTAGACCCAACGTTTTCAATGTAAACCTAGTGTAAAGCCCAGTGTAATATCGGTTATGTGCACGTTAATGTAATCATAGAATTTATCGTGTTATAGTGTATTTTCTATTAAATAACTAAATTATGCTATGAATTTTGCCCTGGTTGAATTTTTATTCGCGACCTCCGAATGCGTTACACTAAACGTTCATTGCATGCTGGAATGATATCCCAAGTCATAGTAAGTTATTCTGTAATACGATACTTTCTGTGTACCATAGATATTATCCAGATACGTTGTTTTTATATAACTTTGTTTGCTAGGGGAGAGTTATTTTAGCACCTTTATTGCTAATAATTTTGCTTACGGTTAATTTTGTCAAGCCCCTTTATTAACTTTTTTTGACAGACAGTGTTATTCGAACAATTTACCTATGTCTCTGTATCAATATTATTACTATCATGTTTGTACAAAAACATGTACGTTTGGTCTCAGGCGACACGTTGAGCACATATCCTTCTATTTAGCTTAAAATCTATCGGTGAATCATTCGCTACCCTATATACATCTTAACAATTCGATTCTTGGTTCCCTTCTGTATTCGCACTTTTCCTTGAAATCATTTGGTGTGTTTGTGACGTTGATCTGCGCTATACAATGATAAACTGTAGTCGGAGCTTCGTGTTACTTTTTGAATTTACTGTTGGAGTTTACTTAATAACCTTTATCAGAGTGACTGATATACAAAGCCTGAGGAATTATCTCGAAGATAATCCACTACAAGCATATTCTCAACAGAATTACAGTTTGCGCGGTTTTTTCGACATCTACGTCTTCAATAGATAAATAAGCATGATGAATGGACAGAGTGCTCTCTGCCTAATCTGTGTCGTATATGATATAACGGATGGCTTAAAATATTTTTTGTCTCTGCAGTTTACTACGATAACACTAATAAAAGATTAATATGGGTGATTGAGTTTATAATACAGTTAGATTGGATACCCAGTCGATGTGTTATACACATAGTAGACCACGTCATAACAGATATACGATTCATGACCAAGAATGGAGCTGGAGAATACTGTATTTCACACAGTGGATATGGAGCAAAAATCAGTAAGATTAAAGGAAATCATATGTTTGATAGTCAGGAAGCTGCATATCTGTCTATCCACACTCAGTGGCCAATCACGTTTACTTTCACTATCACACCATAATATAACTAAAGAATTATGGTAAAACTGGGGGATTGATTGCTGATATCCGATCATCGGTACTTTTGTGTTATGTTCTTTCGACAAATTTACATTATGCACCAGGTATTCTCGTTAGTGTAAATATGGTAATTCTGGCAGCGTCGGCGCTCTTATTCGTGAGATTTTGATTACATTTGCTATTTGTTAGTTGCGTATGAATGTTGATTTTGTATGACAGAATATGTGCCGGTAGTCCATAAAAAACTGGAGGCGCAATAGGGGTTGAGTTCGGTTATTAATAGGGATTTCAGTGGCTCAACGTCAACTACATATCGAAGCTATCGGCAGATGCTCATGAATATAATCACATTGTCTCCTTAATATCGTATGCACCATTAATTAACACTCAATTTCAATGTCACCTTCATCCTGTGTGTCCTCTAACTCTATATACTGATACATTCCAAATGCGTTGAAGGAATTTCGCGCCAAAATACAAGAGTCGCTCACTTATTTCTGATGATTTTATCGAAGAGTGTACTAGTTATTCTAATATCTATCTATTTTCCATAGTCGATAAACTGACTCTATCATGATAGCTCATTTCATAAAATGGAGTGTTTCAATGGAGCGAGTCACGGAATGAGATATTTCAGAATATGCATATTATGAGACAAAGTGATTACGTTACTTGTCTTGAGATTGAAATCAACACTTCCACGAACATGTATAAAAGTTTTGAAGCAGCTAACATTTACATCTGACTGATTTCAGAGTCCAAACAACAGATGTATTTCATTTGCCTCGATTTTCAAACATTATGTTGTTGGTTTGTGAAAGCAATAACAAATGGGAATATAATAGTCATTTTCTGAACTAGGTATGCAGATCTTTTCCATACTGAGACGCTGTCATGGATTGAAACGTGTTGGGCTTTTTCCGCTTAGTCCCAATGTCAGTAAATAATGCACGATGTGGAATTGAAAGACATAACATTCGTCAAGCATGTCCAAAGTAACAAAGCTTGTATATTACGATGGTGATATCAATTATCGTAACTCTTCCCAATTACACACTACCTAACCTCAACTTTACGGACGTACTGTTTACAGTGTTTCAACAATACCTCGGAGATAACGATGATCAAACATACGCAATTCGAACAGGCTAGGTTTCAAAAGCACAACTACTCTCATTGATGCGATGTAGTCCCGAACTATTAACATCCAAACAAACATTTTAAAAGTGGCAAAGACAAGCATAATCTGCTCTGGTTCTTATTATACATGGATTGTTTTCATCCAATACACAAACAGAACATTTCTTACACTGCTATATAGATACACGAAATTTCTCACTACTTCTACTACTCAATACAAAGAGTGAGCGCATGCGCTGGCTTCTGCTTACCTTATAAAAGTACTCTGGATTTAGAAATCGAGTAGCACATGACATATGTAAATATTCTAATTCCCAACAAAGTAAGTGGGATTCGCATAGCTTGTGTATCATCACACAATAAGACAACATTATCCGTATACTCAAGGTTGATAAGTCTTTTCTCATACAAAAACACACTAAATTTACATTGAATTCGATAGACTCTCAATATAATGACACACATTTTAAATAATCCTATCACAACTACAAAGTCCAATAATAAAGACAATTAATCACTAGGTAACTTGTTTGAAATTTTGTTATGTCATACGAAATTAGAGTTCAGATAATTAGTGGGAATTCAATGTCCCTATACATTTCCGCAGTTCCATTTTTTGTGTATTATGGCTTAATTGACTCTTCTGAGTCGTTAAGTTAGGACTTAAAATCTACCTAGAAGTTACACCACTTCATACATAAATTCGTAACATCAGTGATTCAAAACTTGTCAGTATCCTAGTTGTATTGTGTGTACATTTGCTGAGGAGTCTAACTGGAACAAAATGACTATCTATTACTTCCCTTTTGGTTTCATGTATTAGTGGATTAGTCATTAAAGCAGCTAGTTCACCTTGAACAACCTTTATTGGGGTATAATATTATTAACTCTTACAGGAAACAAGTATATTGCACAAACTAGTATTATCTACTTACTAAGTTATTGTGATCATTGAATCGTTGTTTTGTATGATTAGTTTTTTCTTATTCGTGTAATTGTTATGCCCCGATAAGCATAATGAATGGTAACTTTTGGGATCCATTTATGGACCAATACTATGCGTTTATTTTTATCGCATAATTGTTCTGTAACTGAACTATTCATATTCATGTCCCTCTTATCACAAGCTTGACCTACAGACTATTATTATACGATTTACCATTCTTGAGTTATACCCAGTCTATCAATTACTACCTCCCTCGTGCACAGCCACATTTGACTAATTATTGTACAGATGATGTTTCATATTTTATGGTACATTTTGATCTGTCTGGTTGGTATATAAATTCAATATGCTTCATTTCACAGAGACTGAGATTTGTCTTCTGGATTTAACTGGCTGGGCTAAGCAGGAAGCAGGACCAATAAGGACTCTAGACTGCTCATATGGGTTTACGCGTCATTGACCTGGTCGATAAGTCACTGCTCTCTAATTGGCAGTATTCTTTACGTTATACATTAACAGGGCACACAGGCCACAATTTATAACAAATT